ATTATTTTGAAAAAATCCCACGTTGGATTGGCAGCCTATTGGAATACTTAAGCATTCAAAAAGAAAAATTACGATCTTTGCTTCAAATTACGAAAAATTTTTATATCAAAAAAGTCCTCTTCTACAATTTTATGATGAAAAGGCACAGCGGCAATGATGTTTTTTGTCATTAACAGATAGTTACAGGTGTATAGCCACCGTCAATAATAACAATAATTTGTCAAACTGTGACTTGAATTTCCTTTCACGAATTTGCTGATATGCGATTAGTTCAAGGGAAATGCTTCAGTAACAAAGCACAAGCTGAAAGAACTCACGCCAACAAAGGGCGAAGAGAGTGGTTCCAGGAAGGTAGTGGACGACACGCGATGTTTGGGTTCCAGACACAGAGGAACAAGTATTGGACATAATCGAATCGGGGCCTTCCAGGGGCACTCAGAGCACAATAACTGACACTTTCCCAAGCACCAAGTAAATACCGAGGAAAGGCGATTGTACGATACACACAGCACAAGAATATTCAAATGGAGCACGAGTTAATTAACTGAATACGAGAAGCTGCTTGATGAGAGTGGATAATAAGGAGATTACACACGCACTAGCTTGTTTGGAGTTAACCATTTAAGTGTTTGGTGTTGTATGGATTATTGATGTAAACACAAAATCCCGCAGAATTCGAGGTTATGAGAACAGGTTGACATTTCGTCAACAAATCTTGTTGAATTTACCGTTTATCCTTGTCTATCTTATTGTCAGTCTGTATAATTCTATGGTTACCGGAGTTTTAAATAATTACGAAGCAACAGGTATTTGCGCAATGTTATTTAGGCAGATTACCTTGAAAAACATTGCTGCCGTATTTCTGATATAGTTTTTTGCAATTTTCTCAGTTTTTAGTAACAATTAATTTATTTTACTATTTTTTCGGTACTCCTATAACTGCGCCAGGCAACACCTCCAGAGGAATGACGCCAATTTTGAATCACCCTGTATCATAGAATCGCATGTATTCACGATAGATTATCCAAATTATTGCGGGCCCAGAATTAACGTTTTACCACTTCGAAAAGTTGCAAAGAAAGTTCATAGGAATTCAATCAAAAAATGAAGTGTGAATACAGGGTGATTCAAAATTGGCGCCATTCCTCTGGGGGTGTTGTCTGGCGCTGATATAGGAGTACAAAAAAAATAGTAAAAGAAATTAATTGTTATTAAAAACTGAGATATTTCCAAAAAACTATATCAGAAATACGGCAGCAATGTTTTTCAATGTAATCTGAATAATTAACATTGCGCAAATACCTGTTGCTTCGTAATTATTAAAACTCAGGTAGCCATGGAATTATACAGAGCGACAATAAGATAGACAAGGATAAACGGTAAATTCAACAAGATTTGTTGACTGCGGAACGTATTTTTGAATTGTCAACCTGTTCTCATAACCTCGAATATTGGTGTTTATAAGTAAACCATACAACACCAAACATTTGAATGGTTAATTCCAAACAATGTAATGTGTAATGCCTGTGTAATCTCCTTATTATCCACTCTTATCAAGCAGCTTCTCGTATTCAGTTAAATAACTTCTGCTCCATTCGTACATGTGTGCTCCTTGTGCTGTGTGTATCGTACAAACGTGGTAGGAATGTAGCCCTTCCTCGGTATTTATTTGGTTCTTGGGAAAGTGTCAGTTATTGTGCTCTGAGTGCCCCTGAAAGGCCCTGTTTCGATTACGTCCAATACTTGTTCCGCTGTGCCTGGAACCTGGAAATGGATTGTCGTCCACTCTCTTCCTGGAACCACTATCCTCACCCTTTGTTGGCGTGAGTTCTTTCAGCTTCTGCTATGTTACTGTAGTATTTCCCCTGAACTAATCGCGTATCCGCAAATTCGTGAAAGGAAATTCAAAGTAAGAGACAGTTTGACAAATTATTGTTATTATTGACAAGGGCTATCCACCTGTAACTATCTGTTAAAGACAAAAAATATTATTGCCGCTGTGCCTTTTCATCAAAAAATTGTAGAAGAGAACTTTTTTTATATCAAAAATGTTCGTAATTTCAAGCAAAGATCGTAATTTTTCTATTTCAATGCTTAAGTATACCAATATGCTACCAATTAAACATGGAACAATTTGAAAGTAATGTGTAATAACAAAGTTGAAATTCGATCTTCAACTGTTAATATCTTCTAGAAATTTCTAAAAAAAAAAAAAATTTCAATTTTTTTTCGTACTCTCCAAGGGAGCCTCTATCACCCCTTAAAAGGAATGACGCCAATTTTGAATCACCTTATATATGACCCCACAATGGCGTAAATTTGTTATATGTAGAAATTGATTTGAGACATCGTCTATTTTTTCAGGTTTTATTGTTTATGTAGGTAAGGATGAAAGATTTATGCATCCGTGATTCTTAATTAATTAACTACTAAAACTTACGTGACGGTCAGATGATCTTCTCCATCAAACTGATAATTTAATTCAACATAATAGAATTCTTTGCGATTTACATAGTCAAAACTTTCATAGTCATCAATGTACAGTCTAGTGACAGCATTGTTTTCCTGAAATGCATCGTAATTTTATCACTAATCTGATTATTAAGAGCATACACATTGATGGCAGTAAAAATTTACCCTGTCGGGAACAACGTGAAGTTCAAGTGAAGCCTCTCGGTTATAAGCTGAAGATCGTCCAGTTGACGTTGTTCTTACAATTATACTTCCAGATCTGTAGAAGACGGGAATCTGACAAAGATAAAATGATCAATAAGGCGTTTAATTCGTAATTTTAGTAACAACTTACATAAGTCATGTTAACTGGGATCTCAGCCCATGTTGATCCTTCAAAGAATTTGTAACCTTCGCCAGTAATCTGATACCAGAAGTCCGTGCTATCTGGGAAGTAAACTTGAACAGATGTGGCTTCAGACTCATATACAGATGCAACGAGAATGTCGCTACCTGAGCAATTAATTTTTTTATGATATATAGTAAAATTTTATGGACGGAATATACTTGCCGATTAAAAATTCGTCATTCAGATCATAACCTACTGGATCTTCAGGATATTGGTAGAGTAGCGCACGAACAATTGGATCACCAGTGACAGTGTGTTCGTAGAAAACGGTATACCAATATGGTAAATGTTTATAACGCAATTTCATATGATCTCTTAATATTTCCTGAGTCTCGTTTCCAAATAAGAACGGTTCACGGCGAGGAGTTCCGTTAGCAGCGTGAGCCCTGAAGAAGGGTAACCAAATACCCAGCTGAAATAATAAAAGTTTTATGCATTTGACACCTTCTACTACTTAGTCTACATATAAAAAAGGATGTCATTAAGGTCACTAATGAGTAAAATCAGCAGATCTCGTTGCAAGTTTTTGTAACTAAAGTGCTGAGTCTTGAAGTATATTAAATGCAGGGTGTCCGGTAAGCTCATGATCAAAAGAGTACTGTGATATTCTTTGGACCAAAAGAAATCGATCTGACCTAACTGTCATTAACAAAAAATGTCTAGCTCCTCTGTTATTTATGGTCAAAGTTTTTCAAAAAATTTTTTTTTTTTTAAATATCGGGAGATAGGTACGATGTATTTCAGTGAAACTCGCTGTGAATTTGTTCTTATGTAAGACTCAAATTTTGATGAAACAATCGAGTCCGGCCGTTTTGTACAAATGGTGAATTCTTGAGCTTACGGGACACCCTGTATAATACTCATAGGCAACGATAAAGACGGTTTAAGTTTTATGGAAACAAGCATCAACACCGACCATGGAATTAAGGAAAACCGTTTAAGGCCGTAGCGTTAAAAAAGCCTTGAATGAAAAGCTAATCTTGAACGTGTGATGAAACCGAGAATCCAATAATAATTGAAGAAGCGCTACATCTCTATAGTTCTATAAACTGTCAAATCCAAACATTAACCATTGTAGACAATTAAATGAATCAAGTTTTATTTTTTCTCTCTCTTTCTCTCTGTAGCTCTTACACCAAAGATGGGTGTTTACTGACTCAAAAATTCCCCTCCATAGGGCTCTGTCCATCATCAGCTCTTCTACTTCCGTGATATTCGGACTTGTAAGATCTGATGCTATGTTGTCTCTCCACCGTAGTTGTACTCGTCCTAGTGGTCTTCTACCCGTCGGGGCTGCTCCCACTCCCATGCTAATTTGACAACTCTTCCATATTAGTCTTTTGAATTTAATTATTTTTACAATGCTCAGTTGATCATATGGTTCTTCTATTTCCCTGTTTTTTCTGCTAGGATATTGTGTGTGGTTTTATCCCTTGTACGTCTCTTGTATTTTTCTCTCTGCAACCCTCAGTCCGTTCTTGTTCTGTTTTGTCATGGTCCAGGTCTCACAGGCGTACGTAATACTCCTTACACTGGAGTGCTATGTTTTTATTATATTTGTCCGAGTTACATTTTTGGCTTTTACGATTTTCTGTAATGCAAAATATCCAGCGCTGGGCACTTTGTATTCATTTGTTAATTTAATGTTATTGTCAGACGTGATAGTGGCCCCCAGATATTTAAATTCATGAACTCTTCCGAAGTTATTGATCTATTCGATCCCTACGCTCCGTTCTTGTTAGGGTTGGTTGATGACTATTTGGTTTTACTCTCATTTATTTTTTTAGGGCTACACTTTCCGCTACAGATTCTATTTTAAAAAAGTCTTCCTTAGTGTTCACAGTTGTGTTTCAAATGCTGTATATGTTATCCGCAAAGGCCAACGTAAAACGGGACCCCGATTTCTAAATAGAAGAGTCCGTTTTTGCTTCCCTCACAACCTCTCTAAGGCTATACAAATTAAACAGAAGTGGAGATATAGCGTCTGGGGAAACGTTGAAAGCTTTTCTTGCTGATTGAGCCTTCAATACTAATCTTTGTTAAACTGACAAGTTCATTAGGGATTCCTAGTTCTACCATAGCATTCCACAGCTCCACTCTCAAAACGTTGTCATACGCTTGTTTAAAGTCAATAAAGAGTTGATATAGGACTTTATCGCATTCCCAGCACTTCGCCATTAACTGGTGGAATCCAAAAATCTTTTCTACGGTTGGTCGGTTTTTTCTGCGCCCACATTGGAACTTACGCTAACTTACTGCTGATCGCCTTTGTTACCTCCTCAAGAGTTGGCTCTTCGACCAGGGGATCTGCAGCAAAGTAGGCGATCGTATCTTGGCCTTGCTGTGTGTTTCTTAATTGGTCGAAGTAACTTCTCCACACTTCCATCAACTCGCTATTATTTGCCACTAATCTTCCGTTACCTGTTTTAATAAACATGTCAGTTCTCGGTCTGGAGCCTCCTTTACTGTGTCTCACTTCTTGAAAAAAATTCCTAACTTGGTTACTTATGGAATATTGTTGTTGTCTAATGTTGTAGTCAAGCTAAGCCGTTCTGCGGCAATTTATAAATAGACATAAAGAGGTATAGAACGAGTGAACTCGTTAGAATGCTGGTTCAGTGATGATCGCTTTAGGAACTGAATTGGATAACATTGCATTTTTCTGAACTGAAAGCGAATTTTTGGTTCCAACAGTAAAACTGTTCTTTTCTTATTCGCCTTTTAGCCTACATGATACTGAAATCACTTAAATCAAATTTTAAAGTGACTACCTTGAAACGAACGAAACGTGGTTTGCACTGCTGAAAGTCACTATCGTCTAAACAATAAGCGCTCAGTATGGAAACTTAATTTTATGCTTAATTCAAGAGTTGGGATAAGTTTGGATAGGTATGAAAACTTAAAAGCCACGACTCTTACCTCATACCATCTGATAAGAAGTTCTTCAGTAGCTCCTGCGAAGAATCCGGGAATGTCAGCTCCATAGAAAGCCAGTCCAACAAGGTTAGAGGTGAGAGCCATTGGTATACTAAATCTCAAATCGTCAAATCTGCCCATGTTGTCACCACTCCATTTATTGGCATATCTTTGTGAGCCAGCAAAGTAAGCACGGGAAAGGATGAACGGTCTTAAAGTACCATTATCACGTTCGATCAAACCGGCATGAGTGGACATTGTCTAAATTGATAAGAATCAATACAGATGATGTTAATACTTATTTTTAATTATTTCGCGCAACTTTTAAGAAAAATGTTTTTCTAAGTCAAATTTTGATTTACATCTGACACAATTAACTATTTGATTACTATACCACGTGTTATTTATAACAATTTTTAATATATCGGGTATATTTTAATAAGGGTCCGATATTTTACAAGGCGATTCCTCAAGTATTTTTGAGGTAAACTTTGAGGTACTTGCTGACCTACAAGGATTTAACAGATTTATTTTATTTTTTTTCTAAGTAATTGTTTAAATAATATTGATATGTGTAGCTTTCGTACCATGAGAAACTTAATTTTCATCTTGGTTTTGCAATATATGCTTATACTTTGCTATATATGCTTTCAATAACAAGTTTGGTTTAAATTTTGTTATTACTTCAAAAACTAATTGGGTAAAACAAAAATTTAAGTGAACTTTTTAATACCCTATAGCTCGATAAGTAAGGCTTTGCGCACCTATGTCTATATAAACATTTTATATAAAAAACTACTGTTAATATCTTCTAGAAACTATCGAAAAAAAAAAGTTTTAAGTTTTTTCTCGTACCTAACCGGAACTATTAGTGGCAAAGCTGCTATGTGTATTCCACATCTCTCTAATAACTTGATACGAAAGCAGTAAGTATCGTCACTAAATAGAACTAATTAAGATAATTAATGCCTACTTGTAGCATGCCATAAATATTGTGTACATCTCGATGCCTCACTCCTCCATAGTGGATAAGGTCAAACGGGAACGTTCTTTCGTACAGGTTGTCGAACAATGTTGGTTCATTCATATCATTCCAAAATCCTCCTAAGGCTGGCGTTGAAGGGAAGTTTTTGTACAAATGCAATTTACCGTAGTACTCCCGGGCGGCTGGATTGAAATAATCTACCCAACTAGTGTTTCCTGGCCAGCATTCACCAACAAAAGGAGCTCGACCCTCAGAGTCTAACACAAAGTAGTCATTTTCCAAAAGTTCGCGATAAATATTATACTCAAAATCAATTTTGATGTGTGGGTCAGATATGGGAACAAGTTTTCGGTGTGCTTGGCTGTCGACCCACTCCAGTAGCTCGACTGGGTCAGGGAAAGATGTGGCATTCCAAGTGAACCATTTACGTTCAGAAGTGTATTCAATATCAAGCCACAATACATCAAGGGGAAAGTCGTATTTGTCGAAGTTGTTAATAGTTTCCATTACATCTTCTGTGGTATTGTAAGCCCATCTGCATTGATGATAACCCAAAGCCCACAGCTTAAAATAACAAAGAAGTTAAATTAATTAGTAATATGTCGTTAAGTCTGTATACTATTAGTTAGGCATTATTTTATTTCATAGTTAGGCGAATATTATATGTGCGTAAACAAAATATAATGGAAAAGTTACCTGCTCATACACTAAGTTTTGTGAGTCTTCTAATTGAATTTACAAACATTTTTAATGCTTGCTGCAGCTACATACACTTAAGAATTGTGATGTGAAGTATTGCAGCTTATGTTAAATATATTAGATAAATGAGTTTGAGAATTTGAGGCAGCTTATTGAAAAGTCTAGAGAGTTCCAAGTAGCCATGATTGTATTCTTCCTTGATTACCAAAAGGCGTTCGATTGTGTCAGCCGGGGGACACTTTGGAATATCTTGATATACATAAGGTTTCCTGCCCATCTTATTACCCTTATAAAGAACTTCTGCGAATAAAATACAGCAACACTCCGTCTGGATCGGAAGTTCTCAAGACAAGTTCGAGCGGAACCAGGAGTCAGACTGTGTGCTATGTGTAACCTTTCCAATATTTATTGCCAGTTGGTCTTGAGAGAGTCCTTGGAGGGATGGTCTGGGGGTATAACAGTAGCTGGAAAAATCTCCAACTTAGGACGGAAGGAGAAATGATAGAACTTCTTTGACGAATAGAACACGAGAGCAACAGTCGGGTTAAAGGTCAACAAGAATGAGACCAACATAATGATAGTCGGTAGATTTAACACCTTTCATTGGACTGATCGTTTAAGGGAGTACGAACTCTTAGACAGATTTAACTACCTAGGCTCCACGATAACCAATATTGGAAACTGCGAGGCAGAAGTTCGAAGACGCATTGGCATGGAAAAAAGCGCCATGAGTCGACTCGTCTTCTCCATTCTTTTATGCGGTGCTGAAACTTGGACACTGCGTGCTCACAAACGTCAAAAAATCGTCGCTTTTGAAATGTGGTATTGGTGATGATTTTTGCGAATATCTTGTACAGCTGGTCGCGCAACGTTTCTATTTTGAATGAGTTAACAATAGAAACTAGATTATCGTCAATATGTCTGCAGCGAGTCCAGCAGTTTTTTGGACATGTGGGTTGCAGAGGTGAGGATAACCTAGACAAACTGACCAAAAGAGAGCAAGAGGTTGATCGCCAACCAGATCTGATAAACGAGTTCAACAAATCACAGGCCGCTCATTTTGTCAAGCCTTTCTAGATGAAGAAGACAGAACAAAATGGAAACAGGTGCTCGAACATACTGGGCGAAATCACGATTTTCAATAATGAGGGACCGTCTAGAGAGAGAGAGAGAAGTCAATTTGTGGTAGTAATGTATCAATAATTCGGAAGTCCTACAAAATGGCTAATTTTGAAATAATTACCTGAGGTAAATGCGGTTTTCCAGTTAAGTCAATATATTGCCTTACGACTTCTTTAAGTGATGGACCAAGTAAAACAAAGAGATCAAGTCTGCCACCATCGACCATAAAGTAGGCATTGTTGGTTTGATTGTTGATTTCGATCCATTGCTCAGCGGCATTGTTATGGAAAATACCTGATGTGACGTCCCTAAAATTAAATCGTGAATATAAATTGATGAATTGAACATAAGTTTTAATGCGTGTATGTACACTTTTGGAGACGTTTTTTCCTTCAATAAATGTTTTAATTCCTTATTTACTTGCATCTTGCTTTAACAAATCGGTTTCTATTGCAAACTGCACAATGTCCTTACCCAAAACCGTAGATTACTGGAATGGATCCATACATAGACCTGGTGGTATTTAAAACGTATTCCATAGCACCATAATCGGTGTTCCGTAGTCTGTAGGGATCAATGCTGTAGTCAGCAGTATGGCGGAGTTTCAAGTAGTCAACATGTTCATGAAGCCCAAACAGGCGACGGCTTGCTGGAAATTGAACTGCAAAAGTAAATGCCTGACTATCTTCGGTCTGCAAAGAAATATTTATCAATAGTTACATTTCATTAAAATCTATTTCGATTAATTGATTCAAATAACGCGTCTCTCCATGTCGAGCATACAAGTAAAAGTATAATATGCGATGCGTACACACACTGATTTATATTATTTATATTACTTTTCCGAAAATTGCGCCATTTTAAGTACAGATTTTGAGATGTACTGATCTGAGGCACACCCAGAGCTGCATTCGAACCTATTAGCTCTCATCAGCAAATGTTTGGCAATATTTGCTTAAATATAGCTTTAAATAATTATTACTTGATAGCAATGAATTGATTTCAACATGAGATGGAAACAACACATAAAAAATGTAGATATTAAATAAAACTAAATACTTAATATTTGTGTTTTATAAATTAACAAGATTTAGTACAGACTCTAAAGGTGATATTGTTTACTTATTATTACACTATTACATTATTTCACAGTGTTATAAGATATGGAATTATAGCGTGAGGTGCAGCGTATTCAAAGAACCTAAAAATAATACAAAGTTTGCAAAATATTATATTTAAAATAATACATAAGAACAATTTCATGAATCATGCCAACCCTTTGAACATAAGACAACCTTTTGCATAAGAATCAATAGTATCTATTCCATTACAATGACTTGAAAAATATTTTTTTCAGCAAGGGCGGATCCAGGTTTGAAGTTAGGAGGATTTTAGAGATTTGTGTGAGGATTTTGTTCTTGATTCTAGCCGACTATTATTACAGTCTAACAGTATTTAATATGTAAATATTTGAATTTTAATTTGAACGTTGTCACCACGCTAAGACCATGGCTGATGAATGAATGAAAGGCACTTTAGAGCTAACGGCCCATTCTAACAAGCCAAATTATTCCATTGAATTTACGGATGATACTCTTTCGGAAAATTTAGCTGCAATTTAATATTACTTTATTTATTATGTACACACAATGAAAGACACTTAGAGCAAAACAACAATTAAAATAAGAAGCCTCTGTAGGAAAAAATTATATATTTCCAAAAATTTGGGTACTTGGCCTTAAATGCACTAGAAAATTTTTCATTGAGACTACTGTGCTTGGCAATTCGTCTATTCGGAATTAAAATTTTCATGAATGACAACTATTTCAACTAATATTAAGTTCTCAAACATATTTTTCCAAAGGTTGCACACTCTCAGAGTTCGAACTCGCTTTACTCCTTTGCTGTTGCCGTTTTCCAACATGAAGCTAGAATATTTTTTATAGCTACTTCTTCGGGCTTTTTGAACCTTCTGCAACTTTTGAAATATCTTTACATTGAACGACGTTACGGGCAAAAAAATGGAGGTACGCGCAAATGGAACATTTCAGAGTTCATTATCTTTCAAACTGTTGCCAATGTTAATTTCTGTCAAGCCAGCCAAACTCTAGCGAATACTAGTGGCTATCCAGGGCATTTTTGCTTTTTGAAATGGTTCCTACAGTTACGGAGTTATGGGGAAATAAGTGTGCATACTATATGGATGGCAGTTTAAGTCTCTCTAACTCCAAATTCTATTTCTCCGAAATCATATACGAAAACGATGTTATTGAACAGTGGAATTTTGGTCTAAATTCAACTCTTAAGTGAACATTTTGAACATTTACGATTTTCAAAAAATTTGAAAGTTTTCAAAATTAAATTAAAAACAATTAGATTGCTATTTTATTGCTCCTAAAAAAACATTTTGGGGTTAAAAAAATATTGTTGCGCCGCCAAACTTGTAGCAAAAGAGCGTGCTGCTAGGAACAACCAGCGCTTCAGATCTTTAAGTCTTAAGTTCAAGTTTTATGGGCTTTTAAAGAGTTCTTTAATTTCTGAAAAATGTTAGTATCTGACCGAGTTATTGGGTAAAGAGTGGAAGTATTTGAAAGTTTGTGGGTTTTACGCTTGCCAATATTCAGAGCCCATTTAGTTCCAAACTGTTGCAAATACAAAATTTCTTATACATAGAGAGTGAATGTGTCGAGAATACACTTTGCAAGCAATCTGATATTCTATTTTGAAAATGAGTTAATCGAGGTAAAAATGCAAAGTATTTTATTCGGAAAATCGTTCTTTCGACCTTAAATTTATCATGACTTCCAAGATTTTTAACCGATTGCAATTTTCCAAGATGCAGTTTTTATAGAAAATCGTACATTTTTCAAAAAAATTCAAAATTTCCAAATTGGCCCGATTAACATTAAGTTCTACAGAAAGTTTCTACATGCAAAAAGCTGTTTTCCAAAAAAATGCGACCTTAAATCCACAGAGAAAACGTTGATAATATTTGTCTTGAAAAACCGTCTTTTCGACCTTCCAACTCTTATGGCTTTTAAGTTTGCAAAATACGATGTTTAGAGACGCTTTAGGAAAATCTCATAGAAAGTATTTATTTTCTTCAATTATCTATAAAATTAGATCAAATATCATTAGCCGATATAAACCCAGCACAAAGGGGGGGAGGGTCATGACCCCATGACTCCCCCTCTGGATCCGCCCTTGTCAGATAGTATAGCAAGAAAAAAATGTATACAGATTGCACAAAGAAGCAGAACAGTAAACATAAGGAATAGCTATAAACTTGCAAAGAAGTATAAATACATTTAATGAGCTTCCTAACGAACTTAAAATATTAAAGAAAAATGTAACAACCAAAGGTAAATTAAAGGAGTGGATGAAGCTGAATGTGTTGTCTAATAAACTCTTCTGTTGCAAATATGTATCATAGTGCAAAGTTGGCATTATCTTTAACTTTAAGTTAGTTATAGTTAGTAGTAAATTCTTCTAGTCCTGGCAAAAAGAACATACGTGTACCTCTGCCGGATTTTACGAGTTTTTGCCTGTGTAATATACTAATGTAAAATTTTACTGGTTCCATAAAGTTTAAAGTTAAAGCATTTAGTAATGAATTTATAAATGAGTAAAAAATTGTTACATTTAAGACTTGATAGTGCATAGAAACAAATCGCTAGAAAAATTGTTCTACTTACATTTTCCACAATGATTCGGTTTCCCTCGAAAACGGTTTCCAACACTTCGTCGTGATAGAATGAAATCGTGAGAGGTGTATATTCAACAACAACTTGGTTGTTTTCATAGTCCTCTGCTAGGAGAGATCCTTCGAAATGAGTCACTGTTTTAAATCTAAAAGTAGTATTTTCTATTATTAGTTCATACAAGTAAATTTAAAGTTAGTGTTAGTGATCTTATTGCTAATATAGGGACCAGATATATATAGATAACAACATCTAATGTGTTGCATGTTATAATAACATACAATAACAATAATGCATGTTGTAATAAAAATGTAAACAATTTTTCAAGCTTACGTTCTTCATATTTTAATTTCTGATAACAAAATAAGGTAATATTCGATAATGTGTGATTTGATGAATGTAAAGTATTTCATTATAGAAAGGTTCCATAGAAAATTTACAGGCCCGATATTTTTGTGTTCTCCAAAAGACAACATAAAGTTTTACGAATTACACCAGTGAAATAAAAATTCGATTGGTATCTTACAGCTAAATTCTTAGATGCTTACTCTTGTAGAGTAATCATGTTTTACTGAAGAATGGTAATTGCTATTTCACGGTAATCAAAATTAATGGTGTATTTACAAGTAATGTAATTGAAAAAACTGATATTTGTATATAAATTATATATTGATTATTAGATGCTTACAGTTTCAGATTCGGTTCCTTTTCCAATGAATATTCCAGGTTGTATCTATGACGATCATGTTCTTCAATTATGATGCGAAAACGCTGATTTTCAACTGCAGTTAGAGTAAAAGCCAACTCTTCACCTCGTTTATTAGTTAGATTGAAGAAGATCTGTGACTCATCTTTGCTCACAAATTTCGCATTGAATTCCTCGTTTTCATTTGGCAGCCTTAGTCTTAAGCTCCTGAAAATATACTTAGTTTCAAATGTTATATTCTGTCAATTATGAAGATAGTTGGAAATATGAAGAACTGTTTCATTTTTTATCACTGCTCAGTTGACAAGAAACGTTTATGATGAATCGTTGCCAAGAATTAAATCAATCCATGACACTTGCTGAATGGCAAGCAACAATTGAGAAATATCAATTATACCATAAATAATAATGAAATATATAAATAAAATAAATAATAAATAAAGACATAAATTCACTTGTTTCAACTTAAAGGCTTGTTATTATTGGCAACATATTTTTAAGTAGGTCCACAACAATTTAATTTTTACTCGAACAAAGATATGCTAAGTTGAATTAGGCGTGCAAACGCAAATTAGCTTCTACTCAGTTATATTTTCTATAAGCGTAAGAGTTTATTTGCAATATTTTAACTAGAAAAATACGTTAGTAATGTAGGAAGTGCAACTCTTTTTTCTTAAATTCTGGATGAGTAATACAACAATTCTTGTTGCTTTAAAAAATTTAATTTTCACATGACAAACAACAGTGTGGAAATTTCTAAAACCAGCTAGCGACATTAGAGAATTATTACAAAGGCAAAGAAGGAATAGTCGTTTAAAATTTATCCATATATCGAACAGAGATGTATTAATTAACTATTTATGGAACAAGAAGAACAAAAGCTGTTTTTTTATAGTTGTCACGTTTTTATGTCACTTACTAAGGGTTCTTATTGCCGGATTTATCAAATCTAAAGACAGAATGCTCATATTTATTTATCATTTGGTTAAGAGGTATGTTATTTTCATTAGAAAGTAGGCAACTTATACAGAGTGTTATGGTTGATCTTTTATTATTTATTTTTTGCTCCTATTTTGTTTTTGTTCATTTTTATTTTTGAAGTTAAACAATCTATTCCAAAAATATGTATATCTACAATTAGAAAGAAGAAGTGAATCACAACATTTTATGCTGAGGTCCGGAACAGTAGGTACACTCCTAAACTTGCCTGATAAAGCCTTCTCATTTTTTCTAACCAATATAAATGTGTCTTCTTCTAAAAAAGCAATCGAAATAACAATTGCTAGTAATCCAGCAAAACAAAAGGGCTCCTAAAAGTTAAGAGCATATTGGAAACAATGTATTTTCTATTCTTCCAAAAAGCAAAAAAAAATATGTTAAAAATATTTACTCAGGTGAGAAAAATCTAGATAATTAACACATATAGTTACAACAATATATCTTCTATTTCAAACATGTTAAATAAATATTACATTGGAGTAGATAAACTGAATCAAAGAGGCAACTGCGTCAAAGATCATTCTGGCTATAAGACCAATCTTTGTGGTCAATTTTGTGCAAATCCATATATTTGGTAGGTAAGATTCGATTTGGAAAATGGGCGCTTTGTTCTTTAGTAATTTGTATATTACTTACGAGCAAGTCACCCTTGTTGAACAGTTGTACGGGTACGGAATATCCAAGTTTGTATCCGCAAATACCGTTGCTCCGGTAAGGGCAGCAACTAAAACCAGGGTCCTGAAATTGTTTATCATTATTAGAAACGAAACAATTTTGCCATTTTAAAAATACATAAAATTTAAAATCTGTTACAATCAAATACGTGCCTTATTTTTAACTAAGTACTGTACATTGTATTTAATCATTACCTTAGGAGCTCCATTCTAAACCCTTAAACGATACTGAAATAATTTGGCCTATCTGGTCTTTTATATGTCTATCCATAGATCACTTAAAAGTACTTCAAACATTTGAAAAACACTTGACAGTTATCAGCAAACAGTGTACTTATTTTTTGTTTAATTAAGATTATTTGATGCACTTGTTAAAAGAGTTGTGTGAGAATTATTGAATTGAATTATTATTTTTATAGAAAGTGAAATAGTTGTATTATGCAGGCTTTTCGAAATTCGTTATACTACAGTTAAATTAACGATGATATTAAAATAAGTTGTCTGATTAGAAGGCATAGTACAGTCGCATAAAAATGTCCACTCTATTCACTTCCACTGGTACAAAGCATCTTCCATTTTTTTCAATTGAAATATATAAAAGCGTCTTGCATTTAGGTAAGTAAACTAAAATGAATATGCAGGTGTAAATTCAGTTAGCCTTTACTTCTATAATTTTTATTATTATTTTGTTCTTTTCCACTTAATTCAACTTTTAATTAAACGGATATAGTAGAAATGTTGAAGAATAAAAAGTTTGAATTGCCACTAAGTAACAGACCTATTTATTGTATAAAGTGTGTAATCTGATTAACTAACACCCTCAAAAGTAACAAGTAGAAATAGTGCAAGTTTATCTGAACACTCTAATGATTGATAAGACCGTTACAAAACATTTTTCTTTAATTATTGAACTATCGTATCAACTGGTAGATACATATAAAAAGTTTAAAAACGACTTGATATAAATCACATTGCAGTGTGTGCCCCCGTTATACAGGGTGTTCGGAAAATGCGTTAGGAAATTTTTGAGGGTGATTCTACATGCTAAAATAATACGGTCAGGTAACAAAAATTAGAAACCTGCAAATTTTTCGAGTTACAACTCATCAAATTTCGTTTTTGTTTCACCTATTCTGAACATTTCATCGCGGATCTAATTGTAAATTGGTACAAAGTTTTATCTTAGTAATCTTCAACTCTCAGATAAAAATTGTTTTCTCAGCTTTACTGCTGATACCAGATGGCACTTTAACTGAAATTCAAATATCGCAAAAAGTAATATGCGATTTTAAAAATTAGAAAATACTAAACAAAAACTGCTATTGACACGACTCAAAAAATATCTTCGTTTAGGAGCAAATCAAGATTAAAGTTTTTATCACTCTCAACTTAGTCTCCTGAAATTTAATTGCAATCGCAGCAAATCAAGCCCTCTGGTTTTAAAATGTGCCAAATTTGTGTGTATTGTATTACTGTTCAATTTAAACTATTTTTTGTGCTGCATTTGAATAGTCTCGATCCATTTTATTTTAGTGGTTTTAGGGCACAAAACTTTAGTTAGTAAGTAATAAAGACTTTAGTATGGTTGCATGTGATATGCTCCTAAACGAAGCTAAACCAGGAAGAAAGACCATAGGAATCGAAGAGAGAAAAATAATTTTAGTGGCGTAAACCGGCAAAATTGCCCCAAAATTTTGAGCTGCAAAAACCTGCGAGTGATTGTAGAAAAGCAAATGCATGCAAAAATTAGTCACTGTTTGGTGTTTATTGTAGATTGGAGGCATCTTCGTGCCTTTTTTCTTCAAAAATGCACATGGTCAAGTGTTAACCGTAAAGGTGATTCATTATCCTAAAATGTGAATTTTTATTTTGTGCCAAAATTGCAAAACTTGGATCGAAAGAGCATGTTATTTCAACAGAACCAAACATATGTGCCATATAGCCAGAGAAACTTGAATTAATGAACAAGATATTTCCTGATCGATGTATTTCTCGCTTTGGGCTCCCTCGTCATGCGATTTAACGAATTTAGACTTTTTGCATTGCAGTTTATGTTTATCGCAATACTCACAGGAAAATTTTAACACAAAAGCATTTAAAAATTTCTTGGAAAAACTCTTCTGTGTCAGCAAAGCCGAGGCGGTTATTTGTCAAATCTCGTATTCCATTTATAATCTCATGATGAGTATTTCACTTTGCAATAAAAGTTTCAAATTTTTATTGGATAATGTGGTAATAACCTAATCCAGGGTGTCTTTTGTTTGAATGAAGAAGTATGCCCTGCAATACTTCTTCATTCAAATTCAACCTTCGAGATTAATAATTATAATTTCATATTCTTGTGGTATAATATGGGCGTCCCAGTTTACGTTTGCCAAATTTTGTTGAAAGAGGAAATTATAGATACATCCTTGGATAATATATTTTTTAACTTATTTCATTCCTATTTATATTCCTACATTACTTTAAATCCTCGGCTTAGCGTAAATACGTAAGGCTCATTTTCGCATTAAAAATTCGTTAATAATCCTTACTATAATCTTGCTTGATCACTCCATATCTCAAAACACCTTAGAAGTGTGCATAACAAACCAATACTCTTAATAATATAAATGTCGAAATGTTACCATTATTTGATGAGAAATGTATGGTTACTTGTAATGTGCATTGGTCATATCAGCAACTTACAAATATGTATTGTCAGAGAAGTCTACAGCATCAGTTAGAATATTATTTCCTTAATTTATGTTTTAATTATATTAAATATGTGATTAAGTACAGAGTGTTTCCTCATTTCTTCAAGTTGAGACCTCCCTAGATCGTTTATTTCAAAAAAAATGTGAACGTGACCAACGCAAAAGTCGTTTAATTTTACCAAGCAAAAGCACAAACAAATGTTCTTTCCTGCATTTCAGTCAAAATGTGAAATAAAAATGTACATATCGTTTATTTCATATTACGTTTTGGGGAGACTCAGAGAGAAAATTACCACATAATTGGAAATATTTTCAAATGTTTTGCTCTCCCAAAGAAAAAATTATTTTCCTTAAGAACTAATGGATGTTTTAATGCTTTGTGAATTATAGTATTTGTACAACATGTTTTAATTGTAAATTGGTGTTTGTAGTTTGTACTGAACTTTAAATATGATGATGGCGCTGTTGTCTCGCCAAAACATAGTATGAAATAAACGATATGAACATTTTAATTTAACATTTTGACTGAAACCCAAGAAAGAAAAAATATAACAAGTACACGCAGTCAGGAAAATAAATCAAAATAGCACAAAAAAAGAAAGTAAAAGCGCAAATGAAATACTTGAAGGTGTGGATAACGTTGTCACTTTGCCGTCAGTATCGCCAACGTTTTTGAGCAAATGAGTGATATACTTAAATCCGTCACAGTTGTCATCATAAACGTTATGTAGGGTTTAATGATTAATATCGATCAAATAAAATACAATTAAGTTGTTAAACCTTAAAAGATGTTCGAAGTTCTGCCCGTTTAACTCCAACCATATTTCTGTCCCAATTAAAGGGATTCTCGTAGTAGTCGGGAGCGATACCTTGTTGTTGTGGCCTCTCCGAAATAGATGTTGGGTGTTCCATCGCTGAGGGCATGTTCGGCCACTGCCGACTTTTCCACATATCCGAGTTTACAATTCCGTCGGTGTTCTTATATTCTGGTCACAACCGATCTCTTAGTAGTTCCTATGTAGACGCTTCCACAGGACCATGGAATCTGGTAGATTCCTGCAGTTGCGAGGGGGTCTTCTGTCTCTAACTGACCCTAGACATTCTCGGACCTTTGCTGTGGACTTGTAGATTGTTTTTCTGTTGTGTTTCTTCAGGAGCCTCCCAATTCTGGGAGGGGGGAAGCTGGGAACCAGGGGAGGAAAGCTTTCAGAGTGGATTTACTTTTTTCCGCACTGCTCACTCCTACAGCTTTTTTTTATGTCCAACTGGAAATATCCGTTCTGAAGAAAAGCTTTTTCCAAGCGCTGTAGTTTTGTGGTTAGATGTTGTGCGGTTCGATGGGCTGTTTTCTGGCTCTATCCGTAAGAGTCTTAATGATTCCCTGCTTCTGTGATTGATTCCCCTTTCTAGATACAAAACATCCAGGAAGGCCAGTTGGTTGTTTTGTTCAACTTCCATGGTGAATTGGATGTCTGGGTGATGTTTGTTTAGATGGTCGAGAAAGATGTCCATGTTTTCGCGTTCATGCCTCCATAGCACGAACGTGTTATCGACATATCGGTACCAGATCGTTGGTTTAAGTGATGCGGTGCTCAACTCTGTTTCCTCAAACTTCAAACTTCTTCTTCCATGAATAGATTCGCCATCACCGGGCTGAGTGGGCTTCCCATGGCTACTCCTTCCTTTTGTTCGTAGTAATCTCCATTCCACAGGAAGTAGCTGCCCTTTAGACAAGCCTTGAACAGATTTGTTGCATTCCCTTCAAATAGCTCCGCCACTAATTCTATGGATTCGTCCAAGGATACTTTTGTAAATGGAGATCGAAAATCGAAGCTGACCAGCATGTCTGTAGGTTCCAGTTTGAGGTCTTGGATCTTCTTAATGAAATGTTCGGAATCTTGCAAAACGTCAAGAAGAAATTCTACCGAACGGGGGCCTAAAAACCCAAAAAACTCATTAGTTTCAATTCGACAAATGCTTGTTATTATTGAAAGGGCTATCCATCTGTAATTATCTGTTGATGACATAAAACATCATTCCCGCTTTTACTCTTCATCAAAAAATTGTAGGAGAGTACCTACTTTTTTAATGTCAATTTTTTTAAAATATTTATTCCAACAGGCTTCCAGTCAAACATAGGACCAATTCAAAATAATTCTTAACAAAAAAATTTAAATTCAATTTTCAACTGTTAATATCTTCAATCTGTATGTATATTTTCGTGAAGTCAAAAAAAGATTATGTGTGCCCACTGATCGAACAAAGGTATCAACGTTCCGTCTTACAGAGAAAATCTCAGTTATATAACTTATAGAATTCTGCAAAAATACGGAGCCATTGTTCTTATGTGGATTATAGCCATTGTACTTAGATGTTAGTATTTCCGTTACTACAAGTCAATCAACAATGCCCGCTCAAACATTTAAATTTGTTGCAAAATTCAAATATGTAAATAGACGTTATAGTGAACAATCTCATCCTGGATTATCAATTCCATCTCAAATGACGGAACCAATTTTCAAATATTGCCATTTTTTATATAACCTAATCAAAATTGACTCAATCCATATAGTTTTTTCTACTACAGTCGATAATGCGGCGTCATCATAAAAATCTTCCTTTACAAGTGGACCTATTATTGATAATTTCAAGTTGAAAGTCAGGTGCGTCACCAACTCCGCCAGAAGTATTGGTTTTACTGCCATATCATTATTGCCAGAACCAATATAACTTACCGAACAGAATTTTCTTCTGCTTCCAGGTTTTTCTTCCTTTACATAACTCGAAAACTATCCTTGTTAATTTCGTTTTCTAAGTACTCTTCTAGAATGATATTTTCCCATCTAAATTCGCATAAATTTCTGTGATCCGAATAGTTGTCTCATATTAAAAAATGTAAGGATAAACAGTTATTTAGCTTTATAGTATAATATAACGTACATAATTGGACATAAGATTGTAGGCAGCGGCGATAATTAAAATCTGTGTTCTAATGTAATTTTAACATCAATATAATGATTAAACTTTATTATAGTTTCTTGCGTAATACTTAACTCAACTGATTATCTACTAAGGTTCGTACGAAATTATTTACATACTAAACTACCTCAGAGAATACAACATACATTGGATGATATCTCATCTTTCTTGAACAGATTTACATGTCTAATAGATATGGCGAATAATGTTGAGTTTGAATAGGTTTTGTCGAAACGATACAATAGCTACCTGATTGCTTTTACTTTTTTTTAAATCATTATGTTTTTATCGATATTATCAAGCAGGGTAGCCAGGGACGGATTAAAGCTTTACGAGGCCCAGGACTAAAACTTAAGGGCACTAAAATGTGATTTTAAAATTTAAATTTCCGGGGCCCTCTCATTATTGGGGCCTGGAGCTACAGCCCCTGCTAACCCCTCCGTTAATCCACCCCTGAGAGCAGCCATGAAAATTGATGTAGTTACTTGTATTCAACTTCGCTGTTTCTTGAAATTCATTACATCTTTGCAACGTCTACTCATTATACACGAGCAATTTTCACATACATAAAGAAGGCATTTAAACTTCTAATTAAGTAAAATAACAATTTTCTAGCTGATATATTTTTAACGAAACTATATCTATTATCCTCTAACACTTCGGTTTCTAACATGTAATTTGGCAATTCTCCTATGTATTTTAATAAAGACGAGAAACACGGAAATGGTATTAAAAAACAAATAAACGAATACAAAAAATAATTCCGATCGAGACATTCTAAAAAAAATTAAATAAAACTACTTACATGTAAAAGAGAGAATTTTTCCTGGTTTATTTGTTTAATATCCTGATTTTTTTTCCACCCATTCTTGTTTTTGTAAACCGCATTAGCAGTACTTATATATTTCGTATTGAAAATGTGTTTTGTAAAAAACGATTTATTTGTTTACGTTATACAAATCCATTAAGTTATACAAATCCAGTCTTAATGGTACGGCTTATGAATAGAGAATGACTTACAAACTTAGGATTTGTCATAAAGACGACAAAAGTGTCTATGAAGTGTTCCCGGATTCCGTGAGAACGGAAATATGGGTTTATCCAGAATTGGCTGCTGACTTAGCTGTATCCGTTGGAAGGTGTGTTGGCCTGATGGCGCAACTCAGTTGTATTTTTCCGGTATATTGGTATTTATAGGATAGATAGGATTTTATAGGTAGATTGTAATCTGATGCACGGTTATAAAATTAATATTTGTTTTTAGAGGTATACCATCAATTTTTAGTTTTCATCGCTTCATGTTTACTAACACTTCTATAATTGACTAGGGACATCCTATCAAGGATCATCCCATGCGGAATAACGGGGATCAAAATAGAAGGTCCCACGAACCATTTGTGTTTGCTGGTTTATTGCCATAGTTTTCCAAGCCGTACGTGAGAACCGGCAGAAAACAGCTATTGTACGCACTCTTTTTTAGTTTTATGCGTATCATTTTATATTTAAAAATGAAGTTCATGTTTCCTGTATTTTTATGAGTTGGGTTTATTTATATAATTTTGAACGCATCTAAAACAAGTATTTATTGAAATAGTGTAGAGATGACTCTACTACTGATACTAATGGTCATTGTACAGCGTCTACATCACCTACCACCATTAGCAAACTGAAACTTAAAGCCGGCAACCGAAAACTGGCAAAATCAGTCGAGATTTATCTTTCTGATTAGATATGAAAATAACGATCTCGTTTCCGACACCAACACGACATACGTAGAGGCAAGTATGTTTTTGTTGTTCTTGTTGTTGAATGAGCACTTATGTGATTTCTAATCTCATTTCGAGAGACCACTTGCTTCCTGAATTCAGATAAGTATTTGTTTGACGTCAAGTTTTTAATTAACACGACTTTCATTGAAACAATTACATTTTACCATCAAAGTAATGGGAGTAAAGTCTCATAAAACTTCAGTTTTCAAAAGCTTTTAGGTTAAGTTGCAATGTCAATGTAGATGTGTTTCACATCAGGCTCAAGTAAACCTCATATAATTTAAAAATTAGTTTCATTGAGTGACTCTTTTATTGAGAGCCTGTGGTTTATTAGTTCCTGCCCTTATTTTAAAGTTTTTTAACTCCGTTTGAACTATACCCGAGATCACCAGTCAATGATTCGGGGTTTCACAACACGCAGGCCTATCGAGACGACGGCCTAGTTCTTGTTAAGGGAAAGATCCTGGGCGTTGTTTACATGTAGTCCTCGAGGTTGCCACAGACAAGGAGGTCATAGAAGGACCAAAAGGAGAGACTGAGATCTACTCTGACAGCCAGGCGGCCCTAAATACACTGTTTGGTGTTAGGATGAGCAGTACACTGATCCAGGAGGGCTGGGATACCCTGAATAAAGTGGCAAAACCGAACCTAGTGTAGATTACGGCGCACATGAGGTTCGCGTGGATCTTCTGAGAGCCCAATAACTGCCGAACCTCACATAGGGCTAAGTAACAGACAGGTAGCAGGCGTACTTAACGACTGGGCTCTTAAAAGTACCACAGTCGTGGAGAAAGGCGGAAGGCTGTAGACAAATCAAAGAGTTATTGGAATGCCAGGCGACGCCAAGACAACGTCCAAATGGCTGATGCCATGGAGTCGCTGGGCCCTGAGAACTCTGGTTGAGGTCATGGCAGGCCACTGCGGTCTGAACAGACACCTACACCTACTTGGAATCGGTGACAGCCCCGTATGTCCACAATGTGGAACGGCGGAGAAAATATTGTTTCACCTGCTAGGAGTATGCCACCATTGGTCGTCCTTAAGGAGGCGCGTGCTTGGGGCCTCCACACTCTCCTGCACGGAACTGTCTTTGCTAGAGTGAGACGGGACGCCTGGGTGGTGAAGATGAGGCGGGGGTGAATGGAGGGGGAATGGTGAAAAGGGCCTTTAAGGTCTACTCGCCCGACCCGTTTGGATCCCCCCACAGTACTACTACTACTACCAGCATCACAGTAGCGGCTGTGGAAATTAAAAGTAAATCTAATTTATATATTTGGTGTTATTCGTATATTCCGTTTTCGTTTTATATATCGTTTTCGTATATTTTGTTATACATTTCGTGGTTATGATCGGTGGTTTTAGTATGTGAATAAGTGGGGTTTTCTAGATTTATATTACTTATGTAGTATATGCTCTGCAATCTACGAACTTTGTGTCCGTGTGAATTTAAGCACGCCTTGAAATTTACTTTCTCCTGTAGTTGTGTGTGGGCTTCTGATTATGATTTTTCATGATTATTTGCAGAATGTTTGTTTTTTCTTCTTTTTTATATAGTTTTTTTATTTTAGGTAACGTTTAAGTAACATAAAATAAAGCGAGAACCACGTATTAACAAAAAACAAATTTCATTATAACTAGAATAACGTGCATGCGAATAACTAAAGGGGCTTAAATTTATCCTAACAAAACAATACGCTCCATAAGTGGTGAAGTCACAAATAAGACATATTCAGGGACTGTATCTAAGCAAAGCAAATTTGCATTGGAATTAGATACAAAGTTTCCAAAGTGTGCTGATTATCTTAACAGTGAAGAAAAAGAAGCATTTGCAGTATTTGCATTTAGGAGTGTCTTAGTAACGATTCTACATTGAAATCATAGCGTAATTATTAGTGGTTGTATTTATTTTTCACGAAAGTGTCTTGGTCACCTCAAACTTGATGTGAATGGAAAGCAGATTTCATATTAGTAACTGTGTTAAAACCTGTTATTTGTATTTAAATGTTATAGAATAATGGTTATGTGTTGGGCTCCTGAATATAAAAATTATGAGGATCGTAAAAATGTTCGTTTTTTCGGTTTCCAAAACACCCACCCACACGAAATCGATGGATAAAGTTGGTACGGTTAGTAAATCTTATATTGTTATTTGTAAAGCGTATGTTATACTTGAAAATTATTTTAGAAGAACTCTATAGATCCTGGTCCTGGTGCCTCTGTATGCAGTTGTCATTTTTTTGATGGAATGACATTCACACAATGTGGAATGACATTCTTAGTCGGAAAGCATGGGAGATCACTTCGCCCACTGTCTCATCGCCTTTGAAAATGTCCACCGCAGTTGTGGTCGAAACGTCAGGAAGAAATTCCGATAGACCACGGCTTCAAAGCCCGGAAAACATTCCTA